ATTAGTGGTTACCAGGGAGTAGGGGATGGAAGGAAGCGGAGAGGTAGACAGGGTAAAGGGGGTCAAATATGTGGTGACAGAAAGAAATCTAACTACGGAAAGTGAACACAGTATAAACATATATATGCCTTATTGTTAAAGTGTACAGCTGAAACTTATTGGATTTCATTAACCAATGTCACCATAAAACAATAAATAAATAAAAATGTTTAAAAAACCCTAAACATTTATTCACCTAATAACTTCAAACTACATAAAGTAAAAATACCAACCACAAGAAGAAATTTAAAAATCCACAATTACTCTGGAGATTTCAACAAACTTCTCTAAATAACTGACAGAACCAATAGCTAGAAAATCAGCAAGAATACAGAAGTCTGAATAATATCGAACAGAATGATAACCAAATTGACATTAAGTGACATTTACAGAACACTTTACACAAACTAGTACCACATACACTCTGTTCAAAGACATATAGAACATTCGCCAAGACAGGTCATACTTAGGCCATGAAACAACTTTTAATAAATTTAAAAGTTTCAGGTCATACAAAAATTTTCTCTGACCATGCCAATTTATAAATCAATATAAAATCCCCAAATATTTAGAATCTAAATATACTTCTAAAGTAACCGACAAGTCAAAGAAGAAATAATAGAAAATAGAAAGTATTTTTAAAAAAATGAGAATGAAAACAAAACCTACCAAAATTTGTGGAAGTTAAAACAGTAATTGAGGGAGAAATTTATAAGCACTACATGCCTATATTAGAAAAGAAACAACTCAAATCAATGGCTTCAGGACCTTGTACTTTAAACAATTAGAAGATAAAAAAATAAAAATAAATAAAAATCAGAGCAGAAATCAATGAAATATAAAACAGAAAAACAGAGCAAAGGCAACTAAATCAAAGGCTAGACTTCATTTCTGAGAGTATGGAGCAAATGTGCTTTTCTCTATTACTGCTAAGTATGAAACAAAAACCATGAACATTACAAATAAAAAAATATATACTCTAAAAGGTTAAGGGAAGAAGGCAAATTAGCTAGGGACCACAGGACCCAAGGAACAGCATAGTAGTGATGTCCCTGAGTTTTTGCCTAATATATCTCATTCCTGGAATGGAAGAAGTCAGAAACCTGAAAGCACCAACAAGCACAGACCAAAAAAAAAAAAAAAAAAAGCCCCAACAAAAGGCTTCTCTCTCTAGACAAAGGACTGAGAAGGGTGCATATTAACTAGAAAGAAAACTTTTTAGACAGTAGCTGTTGTTCTCTAGCACAGAAGAAAACTGGCCTGACCAATTCTTGCAATGCTCAAGTAGGGAACCTAGGTATCTACCCTCACGGGACTATGAGTCATTCCAAGACTCCCACTGGGGTAGTGCAAGCACAAGTCAAATAGGGAATCGGAACTTTCATTTTCACCAGCTAGTAATGAGAACCTCCCCCCACATGTCAATGGACACAACATGGAAAACCTAGACTTCTATCTCCATCTGGCAGAAGAGGGAATCCACCCTGCCCACACTAGGGTGATATCAGAAAGGTCTAGCAGAGTCAGGATTCTCACCAACACAAAGCGGTAAATGAGGCCACATCCTCTGAGATCAGGCAGGGAGCCAAAACTCCCAACTCTGCTTGGCAATAACAAACATTTGCCTTCAAATGTCAACAGAGGTTAAGTGGGGAACTTGAACTTCAACCCCTACCTGGCATAAGAAGATGGTACCCACACTCTTCCTTTGTTAGACAAGCGTCAGAGAAAGCCAGCTACAACAGCTTTACCTAAGGTGCAAAGTCGCAAAAAATGTTCAGGTTTCAATTAAAAATCATCGTTCACATCAAGAAACAGGAAGATCTCAAACTGATTGAAAAAAGCCAAACAGATGCCAACACTGAGATATTTGTAATTTTAACATCTGACAGAGATGTTAGAATTATCTGATGAAGATTTTAAAGCAGCCATGATAAAAATGATTCATCGAGCAATTATGAGCACAGAAATGAAAAGAGAAAGCCTCAGCAAAAAAATTGAAAACACAAAGCAGAATCGAATGGAAATTTCAGAACTGAAAAGTACAATAAGCATAATAAATAATTCAATGAATGACCTCAACAGCAGAATGAAGGAAAGAGAGGGAAAGAATCAGTGAACTAGAAGATATAACAATAACAATTACCTAATGTAAACAACAGAAAGAAAACAGACTGGGAAAAAAATAAACAAACAAACAGAGCCTCAGGGATCTTTGGGACTATAACAGAAAAGTAGCCTTTTTTTTTTTTTTTTTTTTGTCATTAGAGGACCAGAAAGGAAAAATAAATAAAGCAGGACTGAAAAAGTACTCAAATAAATAATGGCTGAAGAATTCCCCAAATTGGCAAGACATAAAACTACAGGTATTCAAGAATCTGAGCAAATCTCAAACAAGATAATTCCAGAGACAACTACTTCTAAATACATCCTAATTAAACTTCTGAAATCTAAAGACAAAAAAAATATCTTGAACACATCTAAAGAAAAACAACACTTTATAGGGGAAAAATAATTTGAATGAGGGTAAATTTCTCATCAGAAACCAGAGAAGACTAAGAAGTGGCACAATAATAAATGAGGAAGCCTTAAGGAAAATGAAAAAAAATATATTCAACTGAATGAAAATAAAAATACAACATATCAAAATTTGTGAGACAGAGCTAAACCAATGATAAGAGGGAAATTTATAAAAATGCATAGAAAAGAAGAAAAGTCTCAAATCAATAACCTAAACTTCCACCTCAGGAACCAAAAAAAAAAAAAAAAAAGAATAAAATAAAAGCAAAAAAGCAAGGGGAAGGAAAAAATAAATGTAAGTGGAGAAGTCAATGAAATTTAAAATAAAAAGTCAACAAAACAAGGAGCTGATTCTTTGAAAAGATCAATAAAATTGATAAGCCTCTAGCAACACTGACAAAGAAAAAAAAGAAGACAAATTACCAGTGTAAGGAGTAAAATAGAGGATTCAGTACAGATCCTACAGACATCAGAAGGATACTAAGGAAATGCTACCAACAATTTCACACACACAAATTTGACAGCTTAGATAAAATGGATCCCTTCCTCAAAAAAATTTAAAAAACCACTCCAACTCATCAATTATGAAACTGATCATTTGAATAGCTCTAAAACTGTTTTAAAATTTTAATGTGTACTACCAAAAACTACCAAAACAGAAATATGAATGCCCAGACAGTTTCACTGGAGAACTGTACCAAACATTTAGAGAATTAACACCAATTCTATGCAATCAAGTCCAGAAAACAGAAAAGGAGCATTTCTCAATTTACTTTATGAAGCTAATATTACTCCAATACCAAAACCAGACAAATTGAGTATGAAAAGAGAAAACTACAGACCCATATCCCTCCTGAATAGACAGAAAAATCCTCAACAAAATATAAACAGGATCCCACGATATATAAAGAGAATTGTTTTCCATAATCAAATAGTGCTTATTCCAAAGCAGATTAAATACTCAAAATCAATTAATGTAATCTACCATCTTGACAGGCTAAAGAAAAAAATTACATATATTGATGTAGAAAAAATACTTGACAAAATTCACCATTCAAGATAATAAAAAAAAGCTAAGAAAAATAGGAACAAAATACAAGTAAATACTCTCAAGTTCATAGAGAACATCAACAAAACCCAAAAGCTGACATCCTGTTTAATGTTCTCATCACTGAGTAAATGTTTTCCCCCTAAGGTCAGAAACAAGACATGTTCACTCTCACCGATCTTAAGATGGTGCAGAACTTCTACCAAGAGCTATTAGGTAAGCATAAAAGGTAGACAAATTGAGAAGAAATAAAAATAACCTGATTTGCGGATGACACAATTATCTACCAAAAATCCCAAGGACTCTGTAACAAGACTCTAGAACTAATAAGTGAATTCAACAAGATCGCAAGATGCCAAGGTAAATATAAGAATCAATTGTTACTTCCATATACTACCAATAAATAAATGGGCACAAAAATTAAACATACAATACTTACTGTATGTCAACTGTAATCGAAAGTTTTCTTAATTATTAAAAAAGAAAAAACATAAAGCACTATTTATAATTGCTTCCCCCAAAACTAAATACTTAGGTATAAACTCATAAAGCATGTACAGTACTTGTAGGCTGAAAACTACACAAAACTGACAAAAGAAAGCAAAGAAAATCTAAATAAATGGAAACACATAGCATGTTCATAGATTAGGAAACTCAACATAATAAAGATGTCAATTCACCACAAACTGATATTCAGGTTTAATGGTATTCCTATCAAAAGCCTAGTAAGATTTTTGGATGGATACAGACAAGTTATTCTAAAATATATGTATTTTTAAAAACCAATAACAAAACTCGATAACTTATAATTCTGAAAAAGAATAAAGTGGAAAGAATCATCTATCTAATTTCAAAGAGTTATATTATGCAGCTACAGTAATTAAGACAGTGTGGTACTGCCAGACAGACACATAGATCAATGTAACAGACAGAAAACCCAGACATACACTCGAAGATGCCCAGCTGTACCAAGGTATAAGAGCAATTTTTCAACAAATGGCACTGGAGCATTTGGATACCCATAGGCAAAAAACAAACGAACAAAAAAACCTTCACCTGAGTCTCACATCTTACATAAAAATTATCTTAAAATGGATCATAAATTTAAATGTGAAGCATAAGACTATAAAACTTTTAAAAGAAAACAAAATTTGGGGGGATTTAGGGTTTAGGTAAAGAGTTATTAGATTTTACAACAAAAGTATGGTCCATATGGGAAAAATTCATACACTGGACTTCAACAAAATTAGAAACTGCATAAAAAAGCCCATTATGAGGATGAAAACACAAGCTCCAGCATGGGAGAAAAAAAGCAAATCACATACTTAACAAAGCTCTTATATTTAGACTATATAAGAAGTGCCAAGCTCTATAATAATAATAATAAAAACCTAAGCAAATGATGTAAAAATTACTATTTAGATAATAATGAGGTAAGTAAGGAACCACTGATGCTCCAGAAGACTGAGGGAGGAAGAAGGCACAGAAGGCAGTGGGCACAGCAAAGACAGAGGCTTCCTTCTCCACCCCAGGCCTGATGGAGAGAAGGCGTATGTTTGTCAGGCTCCCAACTATACGCTGCTTTGAATGTTACCAACAAAATAGGAATCATCTAACATAAACTAAGTCCAGCTGACTAATGACAGACAGACAAACAGACAAATAGATAAGCAAACAAATTAGAAAACAGGCTAAAGTCATGGACATTTGACTGAAAGAGAATATACAGACAGCAAATAAGGGCATGAATAAGCACATCATCAGCCATCAGGTAAATGCAAATTAAAATCAAATTAGATTATCACTACACGCCTATAAAAATTACTAAAAAAAACCAATGCCTCATGCTGGCAAGAATGTTTAAAGACTGGATTACTCACAAACTTCTGGTAGAAATGTAAAATGGTAGAGTCGCTCTGGAAAAAAGTTTGGCAATTTCTTAAAAAAAAACTGAACATGTAGTTATCCATACAACTCAACAATTGTACAACTAGACATTCATCCCAGAGAAATGAAGACCTATGTTCATGAAAAATTCTGTACATGAATATTTACAACAGCTTTATTCATAATAACCCCCAACTGGAAGTACCTGAGGTATTCTTCAGCAGATGAATGGTTAAACAAACTGTGGTATACTCATAACACAGAATACTAAGCACTAAAAAGGAACAAACCACTGATACATTCATGACCTGGATGAATTGCCAGAGAATTATGCTGAGTGAAAAAAAAAAAAAACCCAATCCCAGAAAGTTATATGTTCTATGATTCCATTTATATAACATCCTTAAAGTAATAAAATTACAGAACTGGAGAACGCATTTGTAGTTACCAGGGATTAAGCCTGAGGGCAGTAAAGAATCAAGTGTGGCTATAAAAAAGGGTACCATGAAGGATCCTTCTGGTGATGGAATTATTCTGTTTGTTATCTGTATCAATTTCAATATCCTGGTGGCAATATTGTCCTATAGTTCTTCAAGATGTTAGCATTGGGGAAACTGGGTAAATGGTATGCAAGATTTCTTTGTATTATTTCTTACACCTTCATGTAACTCTACATTTGACTTAAATAAAAGATTTAATTTAAAATAACTGTAAATGAATAAACCAAAAAAGAAAATTAAGAAAACAAATGCATTTATAATAGCATAAAAAATTTTAGAAATAAGCCTATCCAAGGAGACAAAGAACTTATACAATGAAAACTACAAAATGCTGCTGAAAGAAATTATAGACAACACAAATAAATATAAAGACATCAGTATGCATGGATTGGAAGACAATGCTGTTAGGATGTCATTACTATCCAAAGTGATCTACAGATTCAATGCCATCCCTACCAAAAATCCCAACAACAGTTTATGCAGAAATAGAAAAATGCATTTCTAAAATCCTTGCAGGACATTTGGTCCTGTCAAAAATGACCATGGAGATATTTGGCCCCGAACCAAAACATCTATGGAAACGTCTTGTCCACAACAACCCATCTTCCTAACCATATGTGCCATCACCATCTATGCTGAAGGAAGAAAAATTACTATTGGCAATACAGACACAGGACCAATAAAACATAACAGTATTTTTTATGAATTAATCCTGTAAACCAAAAGTATCAATAAACATCATCAGCTATTTGAAGCATGGAAATTTTAGACAGGCCCAAATAGCAAGGACCATTTGGCATGGACCAAATACGCTAATGGATTCTTTGGACAGGACCAAATTTCAAGGACCTTTTTTGACAAGGACCAAATGTCTTCATGGACATTTTGGACAAGATCGAATGTCCACTAATCTCCCAAAATTCATTTGGAATCTTATGGGACTCTGAATAACAAAAACAAAGAACCAAGTTGGAGGCCTCACACTTTCTGATTTCAAAACTTATTAAAAAGTACATTAATCAAAATGGTGTGGTAACTGGAATAAAAACAGACTCAGAGAACAATGTAGAGAGCACAGAAATAAATCCTCATATATATGGTCAACTGATTTTTGACAAAAGAGTCAAAGCATTCAATAGGGAAAGGACTGTCTTTTCAACAAATGGTGCTGAGAAAACTGGATATCCACATGCAAAACAATGAAGGTGAAGTTGGACCCTTACCTTATTTACACTATATACACAAAAATTAACTAAAAAATCATCCACTCATGATTTTTTAAAGTGTTTTAATTTCTTTAAAAAAAATTAACTCGAAATGGATCAAAGACCTAGACATAAGAGCTAAAACCTAAGGAATGCTTTTAAAACATTAGGGAAATCTTTGTGACCCTGGGTTTGGCACTGAGTTTTTGGACATGACACCAAAAGCTCAGGCAACAAAAACCAAAAATTAAACTGAACTTCATCGAAATTAAAACTTTGTGTATCTGAGAGTGAAAAAACCAGCCACAGAATACAAGAAAACATTTGCAAGTCATATATCTGCTAAGAGTCCAGATCCAGAACCAGATACTAGTCTTAGTATCTAGAATTAGATAAAGAACTCTTATAATTCAACAACAAAAAGACAAACAACCCACTTACAAAATGGGCAAATGACTGAACAGGCATTTCTCCAAAGATTTACAAATAGCCAAAAAGCACATGAAAAGATGCTCAGCATCACCAATCATTAGGGAAATACAAATCAAAACCACAAGGAAATAAATACCACTTCACATCACCGGCATGGCTATTATCAAAAAAACCCAAAAAGTTGGAGGAGGTGTAGAGAAATTGAAACCCTCATCCACTGCTGGTGGGAATGTAAAACAGTGCAGCCTCTGTGAAAAACATTTTGGCCATTCCTCAAAAAGTTGAACACAGAATAACCATATGATTCAGCCAATTTCACTCTTACTATATACCCTAAAAATTTGAAAAGAGAGACTCAAATAGATACGTGCACACCAATGTTCATTAGCAACATTATTTGCAATAGTCAAAAGGAAGAAACAGCCAAACATCTATCAACAGATGAATGGATAAACAAAATGTGGTATATACATACAGTGGAATATTTTTCAGCCATAAAAAGGCAGTAAATTTTAACACACCTACAACGGTATATTAAAAGATGAACATCAAAAACATTAAACTAAGTGAAATAAGCTAGATACAAAGGATAAATATTGTACAATCTCACTTACATAGATATCTATAGTAGACAGTCAGAGAGATAAAAAGTTGGGAGCATGAAAAGAGGATGAAGAGAGTAAAGAGGGTCAATATGTGGTGACAGAAGGAGACTAGATTCTGAGTGATGAGTACACAATGAAATATATAGATGATGTATTATGGAACTATATATTTGAAACTTACATAATGTTATTAACCATTGTTACCCCAGTAAATTTAATTTTAAAAAAGACATGAAATAGGATAAAAGCAAGCTGAGAAGAAGGTAGAATGAGGAGTTATTGTTTAACAGGTACGGAATCTCTGTCTGAAATGATGAAAAAGTTGTAGATAATATGTCCAATAAAGGATTGATACCCAAAATATATAAAAAACTCATGATACAATTCAACATCAAAAAAACAATATTAAAAAATGAGCAGAGGACCTAAACAAACATTTCTTCAAAGAGGACATACAGAGGGCCAACAGACATAAGAAAAGATGCTCAACATCACTAGTCATCAGGGAAATGCAAATCAAAACCACAATGAAATATCAACTTGCACCCGTCAGAACGGCTATTATCAAAAAGACAACAAAGAATAAGTGGCAAGGATGTGGAAAAAAGGAACCCTCATGCACTGCTGGTGGGTTTGTAAACTGGTGCAGCCACTATAAAAACTAGTATGGAGATTCCTCAAAAAATTAAAAGTAGAAATACTACATGACCTAGCAATCCCACTTCTGGGTACTTATCTGAGAAATCAAAAACGCTAATTCAAAAGATATACACACCCCTATACTCACTGCAGCATTATTTACAATAGCCAAGATATGGAAACTACCTAGATGTCCATCAACAGACAAATGGATGAAGATGATGTGGTGTATATATATATATACAATGGAACATTACTCAGCCATTAAAAGAATGAAATCTTGTCATCTGCAATGAATGATGTGAAATAAGTCAGAAGCTAAGTGAAATAAGCCAGATATACAAAAACACCTAATGATTTCTCTTACATGTAGATTCTAAAAAAAATAAATGAATGAAACAAAAATAAATTCATAGATACGGAGAACAAACTGATGGTTGCCAGATGGGGGTGTTAGGTGGGACGGGCAAAATGAAGAGGACTAAGTACAAACTGCCAGTTATAAAATTAGTCACGGGGATGTAAAGTACTGCATAAGAAGTATAGTCAATAGTATTGTAATAATTATGTATGGTATCAGATGGGTACTAGACTTAGGGTAATCATTTCATAAGGTATAGAAATGTCTAATCACTGTTGTACACCTGAAACTAATATAATATTGAGTCTCTGTTTGTTTGTCCTGTTTGTTTATTGCTTTTAGGTTTATATCCCACATATAAGTGATATCATCTGGTTTTCAACTTTTTCTGTCTGGTTTATTTTGCTTAGTATGATTATCTCAGGGTCCATCCATGTATTTCATCTCTTCTTATGGCTCAGTAATATGCCATTGTATATATGTACCACAGCTTCTAAAAGCCAATCATCTATCACCTGGGCCACTGTGAATAATGCTGCCATGAACACTGGTGTGCAAATATCTTTTCGGGCATATGTTTTCAAGTCTTTGGGGTAAATACCCAGTAGAGGGATTGTTAGATCATATGGTAGATCAATTCTTAGTTTTTTGGGGAACCTTCATACTGTTTTCATAGAGGCTGTACCAATTTGCAATCCCACCAGCAGTGTATGAGGGTTACTTTTTCTCCGCATACTCTCCGACATTTGTTATTACTTGTCCTGTTATTAAAAGCTATTCTAACAGGTGTGAGATGGTATCTCATTGTGGTTTTGATTTGCATTTCCC